TTATATGTAATCTTTTATATTTATACTTATTATTTTCCCCCAGAAGACATGGATGCATAAAGGCCTTTATTTTTCATAAAAGGCATGAAGATTTGGAAATCTTTGTCATTTCCAAACAGCTGACTCTAGAAGTTGCTACTGACCAGGGTGACCTGTTTGCACTTCAAAGGGAACAGTCCATTGTTTTTTCATATTAAAGAAAGTTTTGCATGTCCTTGAATTTGGAGAAGTAATTAAAAAGAAACAGCTCATATCCAAGCAGTGGCTACCATCACTGGGGAAGGCGTGATAAGTGGCCCAGGGATTTGCAGGGTATCCAAAAGGATAGTTATTTGTTAAATAGAAGCTTTTGTCACACATCGCCATAATATGGTTTACAAATGAAAGGCTGTATTCTTTACTTAACATTCACAAGTTGCTATGGATTAATTAGCCCATCTGTCACAACAAATGTATTCACACATCTTTTGCACTGATTGCTGAAAAGTGACTTTTTCTTGTCTATCCACTATTCAATATACTGGAAAATAACTTTTTAGAAACAAAGCACATATTTTTAATGTCTATCAAAATTGATATATGTTTATCATAAGCCATCACTTTAATATCTAATTTTTAAGGGTATGTGTCTGTGTAGATCTCACTTGATAGGTGCAGGGCTGGGAGAAGCCCTCAGAAAATCTCCCACAGCTTTTTTTTCTTTCAGTCTCCCTTTGCATGTATACTTGTTAGTTCATCTGAGTATGTATATCTTGTAAGTGCTTCAAGTATTATGTGGTTAAGACCACCCTTACTACTTGTTTCCAATCTTAAATATAGTTTGAGGACAGCCACATGTCACTATCCTAGAATTTCTGTCATTGGCATTTCTTTCTTATTGTGTGCTTTTGCCGTTTCTGATGCCTTGAGTTTGAATAATGTGTCTGCCTTCTCATGCCTCTCAAATTAGGTGGTTTTATCACCTTTTCAGAGTCCAGTCTTTGCCCTCTAAGACTCCTTCTTTCTTAACATACATTGATAGCGGGAATCTTTTCAATTGTACTGTAATTGTTTGGATGAAGGAGAACCAAATCAATTTGGACTGTAGTTATCAAAATTCCAGATGTTATATAGATGAAATTATAATATCCATGTTTCTTAGGAACACCCCATCCTCTCATTCTGTTTAATGACCCCTGTGGAAAAAAGTATCTTTCTCTATAGCATCCTTAAATCAAACTAACATCCTTCCTGAAACTCTTCTGCATGTATATTTGAAACTCAAAGTCCATAGCACATGGGTATTTTTCATAACCTGCTGCCATCAGATTTTCTCCCAACCATATTCATCCATCCTTTTCCTCATGAAAATCCACCTCCCTATACTCCTCTGGTAAAAACACTCCAACTTTCTACTGAGCCAAGAAAGGTTGGGTTTACACCCTTAACTACCTAAGTGGGACACCTTTAATGGACTCTTCCGTGTCCAGTCTTTTTTCATGAAACAAACAAAAATTATATGTTAGACTAAATCTAAATTTGAGACAGAGGAGTAAGAGGGTGGAAGAAAATATAGAGGTAAACAAATAGAAAGATACCGGTATGGCACCATGAAATACCAAACTCCTTGCTGTTGGTTTAGAAACTAACTGCCTAGAAAACAAATGAACTTTTGCTACTAATTTATTTGTTCACTTACTACAGAATTTTCCTGTAGGGTTCACTTTAGATATACTTCTATTATTACTCTTTTCATAGCCATTACTGAAAATAACTGAACAAAGCAACTGCCAGAAAATTCTAATTAATCTGTTCTTTCTTCTGTTGTGAAAGGCATAATTTATAAAATGGTGACCTTTTGGTAGGCTAACACTATGTTGATGAACTTCAAGTGAAGTGAAAAAAAAAGGGTGTTTAGTATTAACAGTGCTTACATTTTCTGAGGGGTCACATGAAGCTGTGGAGCCTTTAAAGGTCATGGACTTCTTTACTTTGAGAGATATTAAATAGCTTATGAAAATAGAGGTCAGCTGCATGATAACTGGAAGAAAAGAGCACTCCCCAATAGGGAAGTAAGATATTTGAGATTACAGTGACTGTCCTTTTTTAAGATTATATTGACTCTCCATGGAGCAAAGACTGAAATTTGCATCTAAATGTCATCATTGTAAATGAATGGATGTTCCTGCTACAGAATCTATAGCTATTGATCTCACTGTATGAATGCTAATATTGATTGCATATGCTAAACGTTGTAATAAAAACTAACGATTCACCACCTAAAATACTTTTCAGTAATTTTTGTTTCTGCAGAATTATTGTATAGTGTGGATTTGTCAAAAATAATCTTACCATATGGGAACACAAAATAAATAATAATTACAAGTAGGAAACTCACTTCTTAAAAATTATTTTTGCTTTGAAGGTCACTAAAACAAATAAGCATTGCGAACACCAAGACTAGATTAACACATAGACAAGACACCCAGCCACCTGGGGAAAATAGATTAGTGGCATTGTATACCTACTACTTATTGACACAGTTTATGAACCAGTAGCATCGAAAGTATGAGTGGTAGAAATTCTGGTCATGAAGTCTTCCCTTTACCTTCTGGTATTGCTTAAATTCTCTTCAAAAAGAGCAAGCATTCATTTATTTCATTCTGCCACTGTTAAAAGTTGTTTCTATAGGAACTGGTAACATATTGACATAGTTCCAATAGATGTTAAATGGTTGGTAACAGATTATGACTGAGTTTTCAGAGAGAGAAAGGTAATGGGAAACTTTAAGAGTGGATCTTCATTAACTTGAAGGGACATTATTAAGTAAAGGCCAAGGACAAAAGAGCAAGTCTTACCTATTGCATAGATTTTCATAACAGTCTTAGCTACCACTTGACTATCTCCAGTGATCTGGAATTTACAAATACTGAGGACAATCAGGAAACAATGGGGATGATCATTCAATGTGAAGGACTAGTCTTTAGGTTGTGCTTTTCCATTCTGGGCTCTGTTTTATCCCTTGGTGATTACACCTCCAGGGAACCCTGCAGTAGCCCAGAGACCTGACATCCAGCAGGACCTCAAGCATAAGTAATGATGTCCATAGGTATCCCATGCTCACATATCCCATACGCCCAAGTAAACATTGCAAGATTGTGTCCATGAAAATTCTGTGACAGTTTTTCAAATTTAGTCCATGAAGAAGATAATCAGAAAGTAAAAGCATAGATTAGTGAACATGTGACCACTGGTAAGTACCTACTCGGATCTCTAGCTGAAGTTTCCTACTAGTGATTCAGGAACTGAACTGGGACATATTTTACTGTTGTGGAAACTTAATTGCTCATTTTTTGAAGGCACATTAACTCTTTCAGGGGCCGTTGAGTAAATTAGCTCCTCTGGTTCATTAAACTTGCCTCTACATGAAGTGACTATTTCCACCTGGCATTGTATCATTTACCTCAAAATGCCCCACACTTGCACTGAGCACACACATACTCTTTGTCTACTCAAGGGGAGAGAATGTGTTCATTTGAATGTCAGCAGTTGTTCTTCAACTGCAACTCAGTGATTTATTTTCCCTCTTTTTAGGCACCCAGGGATATCTTAAGGGTTTGCTAGTGCATAGCAGTTACCAGTGCTTCACCAAGAAATGGGTAGTTCAGTTAGCTGTCCAGAAATGGTATGATTTCCAGAGTATCGGGCATGGCATTGTACCACCAAATATCTCCTCATATTTGCAAAAGCCAACATTATTCATTCATTTAGGGTAGGAATCATGAAACTGTTTCAGGACTCTAGAGTCCTTTGCTAAAGCACAACTTTTGCTAAAAGTTATCAGGGCCTATTTTAATGGAATAAATTAATAACTGTTTAATAACCATCTTTATTGCCTCTGAGAAAGGGTCGGAAACGTGTGCAGGTAGTTTAGTTGCTGCATGGGCTGGGAAACATCCCTGGCCCTTAGCACACAGGTGTAGGAGAGTCCATAAAAAGAATAATATGTTCTTCCTCTCTTAAATGTCAATAGTTTTGTCCCTGAAATGACCAAAGACAGAGGTAAACTTCACTGCTTTCTCTGTAGTGTCCTGAGCCAACTGGGAGAGTCCTGAGTTGGTAGAAATTGAAACAGGAAAGGATCCAAAGGGACTCGAAGTATATGTGTCAGAGGCGCTAAGAGCAGGGCTGTGTTTGTGTGCCATATGTCAGCTGGGAACTTGTTATAATAGCAGTTCTGACTCAGGAGGGTGGTGTCAGGGCCAGGGGTCCTGCATATCTAATCATCTCTTTTGTGATACTGCTGTTGCTCCTGGACCACACTTTGAGCTGTGATGATGTGGAGAAAATGCACATAAACAATAACATGGACTTGGATAGAAAGATGACAAATATGAAAGAAATTTGACATTATCCTTTAAACGTAGATTTCAGGCAAGTAAGACTTTATGAAATGTTTAAAATATCATCAAGATATTAGGGCTCAGTTTTTAAAAGGATATGCTTGAACCAGGCATGGTGGCAAATGCCTGAAATCTCAGCACTCCAGGAAGCTGAGGCCAGAGAATCACAAGTTTAAGTCACAACTTAGCAACTTAGTGAGACCCTGTCTCAAAATAAAAAATAAAAATAGTCCTGGGGATATAGCTCAGTGTAATGGGTTCAATTCCCAGTCCTGGAGGAGGAGGGAAATATTCGTAACTTTTCTACCTATCTGAAAGTTTTGGTGGACATCTTCTGATGCTGACATGCCATTTAAATTTTGAAACCTTTTACCAATAATTCTAATTGTGTTTTGTTAATTGACTCCTGATATTTCATAAAGATACAAAGTAATTATTTTTCTAATCTCTTCCACTTGCTCATGTTGGTGAAGAGTTCGATAAATGTCAACATCTGATTAAATATTCCTTTCTCACCCAGAGCTGGTTGAAACTTTTCCTCTCTAGCTTTTTTTAATCTGTTGTGATAGCCCTTCTGTCCTTGCCTCTGAGGTGAATGATGTCCTCCTGTTTCCACAGGTGAATGGGAAGGATCTCTCGAAGGCCACCCATGAAGAGGCAGTGGAAGCTTTTCGAAATGCCAAGGAGCCCATTGTGGTGCAAGTGTTAAGGCGAACGCCTCTCAGTAGACCTTCGTATGGGACAGTCCCGGAAGTGCAGCTCATGAATGCCAGCACACAGACAGACATCACATTTGAGCACATCATGGCCCTGGCCAAGCTCCGGCCACCCACCCCTCCGGTGCCAGACATCTGTCCATTTCTGCTCTCAGACAGGTATTTCTCTGTCATTTCTCCCCATCACCCCATTTGTTGTCGTTCTCCATTTAAAGTAAGTGTTGGAAAGAACAATCTCCCCAGCAAGCCAACAATTATGGAGTTGGGCTCCAGCTCTGTTTGGAGAACCTCTCCATTGAGACTTTGTCCAAGTAGTTCTCAGCAGTCCCTGCGAGCTCACTCCCTGACCCCCACAGTTGCTTCACCTCCAGAACCAGACCTGCGAAGAGACAGTGAAAAACTCTGGCTCTGATTAGCTCAGCCTCATATTTGCAGCCCTCTAGCCCTCATGCTACTCTGACCATTGGTCAGGGAAATAGATTTTCTCACCAAAGCTGCCAAGCCCTTATTAAGACTCAGGTAGATGTGACATGTTGGCACTGTGTTCTCCTCTGTGGGTCTCCTCTTTCTCTCCCTTGCTTTTCTCTTTTTAAAAGAGAAACCAGGACATTAATTAAATACAATTCTCCAAAGAAACCAATTACCCAATATACTGAAATATAAACAAAGGGTCCTGGCTGTCAGAGAGTAAGTAGAGTGTAGAGTGCTATAAAATAAGGAACAATTAAAACAATATTTCTTCCTGCTTTTACCTAATGTGAATGCAGCTACATTTTATTTCAAATAATCCTATTTGTGCAGTTTTGGAAATATATTTTTCCTGGTTTACTTTGTTCTGTGAGATTTTAAGTAAATATTTAAACACTATTGAGAGTTTGATTTCTAAAAGCAATAACGTCTTTTGACCTCATTTTGTTTTCGGTAAACCATTCTTGACTTTGTAAAACACTTCCCTGCCCTTCAGTGGCCTCCATAAGTATCTTTCAGTGAGTCACAAGAGTGTGAGAGAATTACCCAGGAACTTTGAGAAGCCCTGTCAATGCCTGGACCCCACTTTGAGCCAATTAATAACAATTTTTATAGTGGGATCTAGGTAACAGTTTTCAGAAATCTCCCTGGATGATTCTAGGTTTGGAAACCATTTCTTGAAACTTCAACTTCCAAGAAGGTAGTGGCACTACTTGCTTACCTATCACTTGGATCGTTTGTCCCTTACATATTAAGGAGCCCTTTGTGTCAGGCAGTGGAGCTAGGTGCTGGGCATAAAATTATGAGTAAGAATAAAGCCACTGCCTCCTGGAGTTTATATGGTGAGCAGGTTTAAGCAACAGCAAGCAAACCAACGCAGTATTCATTAGTACCAGACACTTAGTACCCGCCCGGTAAATATGTGCTTACATGAACCTTTATTAGGTAACTTATCATATTTTAGGTAATACCCCATGTGTTTTACGTTAATCGGCTCATTTACTTCTCAGAACAGCCTAGAGAGGGAGTGCATTGTATTATTACCATCCTCATGTCACAAGTGAGGAAACACACGTTAGGTAAGTTGGTAAGAAAGTGACGACATGAGGCCTTGGAGCTTATGAGGTGCAACCCCAGCCCCACCTCCCTTTGGCAGGGCGCTGTGTGACTTTGTCCTAAGTCCCAAAGCTCCAGAAAGTGTTCAGTAGCTCCCCTTCCGCCTCCCTCCCTTCCCGTTTTCAGCTAGTGAAAAGGGAACTCCAGTTTTTAATAACTTCCGTAGGGACAGAGCTTAGCGGACATGCTTGCCACCCGTTTCATTTGCACTTAGGATCTGTTACTGGCTTTTAGATATAGAAATGGAATTAGGCCCTTTGCTGTTGTTAAACGATGCTTAGCCTTCCTATTGTAATATATGTTATATCTGAATATTGACATATAGTAATTCAAAGATAACTTTTATAAGTTATTTTCAATAGTGCCTAAAGGTTACAGCATATACAAAATCCATACTAAGGTTCCCCTCACTTGCATTACTTAATCTGTTCTCTCTGTCACTGAGAATTTACTAAAGGAATTAGGAAACTTTGTAGCTTCTAGGAATTTCCAGTGAGTTGTTGCCATGAATGCTCATTGCTATGCATGTATGTTCCCTGAATCAAAGAGGAGAAATATGGGTTGTGAGAGAGAATAGGCGAGGGGGTCTTAAAGAACAGAGCAGGGAATAACGTGTATACATTTCACAGTCTGAAAATTATGGGCTTTTGAAACTGACTTTTCAAAAACTGTTTGGGGCAGTGGGGTTTGGAATTGGTTGAGCTTTGCTCCAAAACAAGCCCCTTTGGGAGATTGCAGTGTCAAATGCTACATATGCAGGGAATGGAAGAGGCCAGGTGGGTAGCAATGAACTGAGACTGTCAAAGACTTTGCATCAGTCTCTTCACAGAAAGCAACTCTGACCATGGCCCTTCCCCTTAATATTCACCCAGAAAGAGCAAATTGATGGATTTCATGGAGGGGAAGAAAGCAAAGCAATTTGCTCTTTCTGAACTCTTGTCTGCTTAAAGTCTAGAGTGTTTAGATCATTTCTTCCAAAGCAGAGTAAACTAAAGAGAAATTATAAAATCAGTTTTAATCTTGAAAACAGCCCTTTTGACCCATTCCTATTATATTGCTGCATTCCCTGTAGCTGCCACTCTCTTCATCCGATGGAGCGTGAATTTTATGAGGACAATGAGTATCTCTCTAGCCTGCCTGCTGATGCAGACAGAACAGAGGACTTTGAATATGAGGTAAGACTGTTTCCACAGCTCTTCACGTGTCTGCATGAAGTTATGGTCGAGGAGTTTTGCATAACAAAGAAATTGGTGTGTTACTGTAAGAAATATCTTGTCTATTGCACAGAGAAAAGAGCTTTTTGCTGGGTGTTTAGCTCAGTGGCACC